CGTCTTGGAGTCCTCTTGGGCCGTCTTGGGGCGCTCTTGAGAGCCTATTGAGCCGTCTTGGAACGTCGGACAGCCGAAAAGGCTGGAAGGCCAAAATCGTTCGAAAACCTTCGTACAATTGACGATTTCGGCCTCTGGAAGCGCTCTGGAGAGGCGTCTTGAAGCGTCGTGGAGTGCCTTGGGGGGCCTCTCGGGCCGTCTTGGGCCTATCTTGGGCGTCCTGGAGCGGTCTTTCGGCGACTCGGGGCCCGCTTGGGCCGTCTTGGGGGCCTCTGGAGGCCCTCCTGGACTATTTTGGACCTCCCTGGCCGCCCCGTCCTCTCATGGGAGGTCGGAGGCGGCGGCCTCCGAGGCCCAGGACGCGGAAACCTTGTAAAAACACATGGAAAATGAGCCCCGGTCCCCCCATGGGGGGTCGGGGCACCTGTCCTGGGGCCCCCGGCCTCGCCCCCAAGGATATATATATATATATATATATTATATATAATATAGATATATATATATATATATATATGTATGCGGTGTACTCTTTAACGGCACAAGCAATGTGGTGAAATCTGGGCGGTGCAATCCACGCGGTGCAATCCATGTGGTGCAACTTATGTGGCCCACTGCGATGCAAAGTCTTGCAGTGCGATTGAAATGCAAAACAATGCACTGCAATGCACAGCAATGCAAACCACTGCAAAAGTAATGCAACTCAATGCGATCGAAATGCAAAGCAATGCACATCAATGCAAAACAATGCAATGCGATTGCACTCAATGCAACGCCTTGCTTATGTTGCTCCCATCGTACTTAAGAACCACGTCCCAGAAATGATTTCGACCACCCGGAAAGTGTCGAACAAGTGTCGAAACAGTGTCGAAGCAGTGTCGAACGAGTATCTCCTAGGGCCCGACACTTTAAAACCCTCAAATCTCGATACTTCCGTGGTGCTCGAAATCCTTTCCGGTTGGTTCGATACTTTCGTTGTGTTCGATACTTTCGTTGTGATCAAGGCTAAAGTAGGCTGGAACACCATAACGCAATGCAATGCAAATCAATGCGGTAGCAATGCAACGCAATGCGAATCCATACGATGCAACGTAATGCAACGCCATGCAAGGCAATGCGAAACAAATCAATGCAATGCAAAGTTATGCAAGGCGATTGCGATGCAAAGCAATGCAACGCAATGCAGAGCAGTGCGATAACAAGGCAACCCATTGCGAAACAATGCAAACATGGCAACGCAATGCAAAGCAATGCAGACTGCAACGTGATTGCAGCGCAAAGCAGCGCAACACACAGCGAAAAAATGGAACGCAATGCGATTGCACCGGGTGGGGGGCTGCAATGGGGCGGCGGCGACGGGGCGACGACGGAGACTACAAGGCGGTGGACCCGACAACGGAGCCTGGACGACGGGCGGCGACGTTGCGGCGACGTCGACAAGGCAGCGGACCCGACAACGGAGCCCAGGCGACGGGCGGCGATGAGGCGGCGACGGGACGGTGACGGCGACCACGCGGTGGCGGATCCGACAACGGCCTTAGAAAACAAGCGAGAACCCCAAGGTGCAAGCACTGTTTGAGGAACATCTATGTGTGTGTATATATTGAAGGGGCCCTGGGACACACCCACACATAAATACACACAAATAACATAATTCCAAATATTTTCCCATATTTTCTGGGTTTTTGTCTTCCCCCCCACTTCCCATATTTTCCCATATCTTCTGGGGAACCAACGATGAACTGCGTCTGTGTGTTATTTTTCCCTACTGGCATTTGTACATTTATGAGAGAGAGCGCGCGCCCGTGGTACGCTCCCAAATGGGGGGGGTCCCCCCTTAGCTACCCCCGCCCCGCAGGACCTCCCCTTCTGGAAGCCCCCTGCCCCTCCTCCTCCTCTCTTTTTGTTCCGCCATTCGGAGGCTACCCCGCCTCCCTTTCGCGCTCTGGAAGCTAGGCCCCCCCCCTCCCTGTCCAAAGGGGGGGGGAGCTTAGCTACCCCCCCGCCTTGGACCCCTTGGACCTCCCCTGCCGGAAGGCCCCCCCCCCCTCCTTTTCTTTCTCCGCCCCTCGGAAGCTACCCTCCCCCCTCCTCCCCTTTCGCGCTCCGGAAGCTACCCCCCTACCTCCCTTTCCAAAGGGGGGAAAAGCTTACCCCCCCTTCCTTTGAACCCCTCCTAGGGCGACCCCCTCCCCTCCCCCCCTCTTTAAGCTAAACGGGGGGGGGGGCTTGGAAGCACCCCCCTTTTGGCTAAAGGGAGGAGCGCCGAAGACCAACAGAACGCCAAAAACCAAAGACCCACCGACAACCGAAAGGGTGCGAAAACCAGAGGGCGCCGAAAACCAAAGAAACGCCGAAAATCGAAAGGGCACCGAACACCAAAAGAGGCGCCGAACACCAAAAGGACGCCGAAAACCAAAGGAGCGCCGAACACCAAAGGAGCGCCGAACACCAAAGGAGCGCCGAAAACCCGAGCAGCGCCGAAAACCAAAAGGGCGCTGAAAATCAAAGAGCACCGAAACCAAAAGGGCGCCCACCATCGAAAGACCACAAGGGCACCGAAAACCAAAACGGTGCCGAAAACCAAACGAGCACCGAAAATCAAAAGGGCACCGATGACCCAAAACGGCGTCGAAAACAAAAAGAGCCGCAAACCAAAGGGGCGCCGAAAACCACAAGGGCGCCGAAAACCAAAGGAACACAGAAAACCAAGGGGGCGCAAAAAACAATAGACGCGCCGATAATCAAACGGACGTCGAAAACCAAAGGGCGCAACAAAAACCAAGGGCGCGCCGAAAGCCGCCCCGAAAATCAAAAGGGCGCCGAAAACCAAAACAGCGCAGACAAATCAAAAGGGCGCTGGAACCCAAGAAGGCGCCGGAAACCAACGATGCGTCGAAACCCAGAAAGAGTGCGCTGAAAACCAAAAGGGGCGTTGAAACAAAGGAGCGCCGAAAACAACATGAGCGCCGAAAACAACATGAGCGCCGAAAACCAAAGGAGCGCCGAAAACTATAGAACCGCCGAAAACCAAAGGGGCGCCAAAAGGCCCAAGGGGCGCCAAAAACTAAAGCGGCGCCGAAAACCAAAGAGACACCGAAAACCACAAGTACGCGGCAAACCAACGGGGCGCCGAAAACCAAAGAGGAACAGTAGCGTCGATGCCTGCCTTCAGCCAGGGCCCTCCAGCTGGAAAAGGCCAACAGAAGGAGGGGAGGGGGGGGGCTTCGGAAGCCCGCCCCTCGTTTAGAAGGGGCAACCTGGGCTTACCCCAGGCCCCGAAAAAGGAAGGGTGAGGATAGCTTCCACCCCCCCCCTTTCCCCGTTGGCCAGGGACCCCCCAGCTACAACATCCAAACAAAAGGATGGGAGAGGGGGGGGTGGATGCTTCGGAAGCCTCCCCCCCGTTGAAAGGTGAGCCCGGGCTGACTTAGGAGAAATGGGAGGAGTACGAGGACCTCGTCCTCCTCGTCCTGCCAGATCGCTCCTCCTCCTCCTCCTCCTCCACCTCCTCCTCCTTCCCGCCCTGGTACTCCTCGCCTGCACAGCTTCCCATGTTGCGCGGCGGGCTCCAGAGTCGGGCGGCGGAACTCGGCCAGCTCGTCGTCGGTCATCAGAGGCTTGCCCTGCCTGAGGGCGGGACGGGCAGGGCAGAGGCGGCGGGGAGGTGAGGCGAGGTGAGGGGAAGATACACAGGGGCCCAGGGGCACACACATACATAGACACACACACACACACATCCCAGGATTGCCAATCGTTCCCATATTCTCTGGGTTTTCGTCTTCCCCCCACTTCATATATGTTCGTATCTTTTCCTGGGTGGCGACGATCAAGTGGGTGTCGACGATCATTCCCAAGGACACACCAATAAATAGACTTTTTTGATCCGCGGGTCGAGAGGCACCTCCCCTGGTCGAAGCTAAGCGGGCAGCGCACAGCTTTAGTTGACAGAGGGGGGAAAGCAAAAGGAGGGGCCTCACGTCGAGGCCAAGAGAGGGCAAAGCCCCGGAATCAGGCGGTGCCGAAGCCGATGTGCATGCAAAATAACGCCTTGTACAGGAACCCGGTGGCGAAGTATCGGAAGAAACAAAATGCCGTGGTGGTGGTGCCGTCACAGATAAATAGACACGTCCCAGGATTGCCAATCTTTCCCATCTTCTCTGGGTTTTCGTCTTCCCCCCCACCTCATATAGATTCGTATCTTTCCCTGGGCGTCGACGAATTGTGGCTGTGTGCTTTTGCCCCTCCTGAGAGGAGGGGAGGGGTGGGGGAGGGGTTGGGGATGGAGGAAAAGCTGGGCTGCCAGGGGTTTGGGAAGCGGACTGGAGGCAGCGGCATGGGTGGGGAGAGGGGGGCGGAGGAAACGGAGGGAGGGGTGGCGGCGAGGGGAGGAGGGGAGGGCAAGGAGGCCGTGGAAAAGGCGATACGGGTAAGGGAGAGGGGAGGGGAGCAGGGATGATAGAGGGAAAGAAGATGACGATACAACACACACACACATATTTATATATATATACATATACACATGTATATATATACACATATATATGTATATATGCATATATATGTATAGCTAGGGATGACCTGGAAATGGAGGCGACCTCCTGCCGCTTGACAGATCGTGTTTCCTGTGCTGTGTCGGGCGAGCACCAGTCATCGGCTAGCTTCTGGTCTCGACGCCAACATGAGGTAGAGGTCAGACTGATGGTCCAGAGCAACAAGACATACACATAGACACAACACATACCCACCTGGTAGACCATCATGAGAGCCAGCATGAAGGTATGGGTGCGGGGATGCTTCACGTGTGAAGCGCAGTGGCTTCACATTGGATTCGATTCCGCCCACGCTGTTCCTTCCCCCCCGCAACATCGCCTGGTATGCTCCCACAGCCGGGGGCAGCTGCTGTGGCTGGCCTGGAGCGCGGCGAGTCAGATAACGCCCTCGTCTCCACGCGAATACTTCGTCCCCATACGCACACGTCGTCTCCATCCGAACACCTCGTCTCAGATGACGCCCTCGTCTCCATACGAATACTTCGTGCGCACGCCCCACTTGAGATGCAGGGGCAGCCTGGGATCGAGCTCCCGCGGCCACTGCGACAGCGGCTCGCCGAACATCCGGTGCCAGGCGGCCTCGTAGTAGCCGCTCATCTCCGTGCAGAACTCGCCCTCCGAGCCGAAGGCGGCGAGCTGCTCGCGCGGCCAGGCGCGCAGGCGGTCCCTGCGCACCACGGACTGGGAGCCCGTGTAGAACTGGAACACGTCGCTGGCCTCTCGGTAGGCGTCGACCACGGGTGCCACCCCGTCCGCCTCCCCGTCGGCGCCGCCGAGCTCCTTGAAGTAGGACACCTCTGGGTACGGGCTCGCTATGAGCTCCGAGCCGGCGCGCACCGTGCAGCGGGCCTCCTCCAGGTCGCAGGTGATGCCCCCGCAGAGGGGCCCCAACTGGCTGCAGCGGGCCCGTGCCAGCCTCGGGGCGCGCGCCGAGTCGTCGCCAGCGGCGTAGTCCGCCAGGTACGCGCCCACGTGCCTCGAGAACACGGCGGGCCTGTCGTCGTCGGCGGGGCCCGAGGCGTTCGCGTCCGCGTCCGGGTGCGCCGAGCCGCCCTCCCCGGCGCACCTTGGGCGTGAATGGATGCGGGGCGGTCAGAGGGGGGTGCACGTCTTGGGCCCTCAAGGCCCCCTTTGGAGCCCGAAGGGGCCCCTCTGGGGGCCCCAAAGGGCCCCTTTGCGGCAGCCCTCGCTGCCTCCCCACTCATCGCCCCCCCGTTTGCGCGAGGCCCAGGCACCTCTTCCGGAAGCTGGTCTCCAGCTCGGAGGGCGAGGCCAGCGGCTCTGGCGGCTCCCCGCGGCGCACCGTGCACGAGGGGCTGCCCGCCCGAACGGTGGAGATGTACAGCTCCAGGTCCTCGACGTCGACGGACGGGGTGTAGCACGTCACGCCCGCGCACGAGGGCAGAGAGGCGCAGAGGGCCTTCGCGGCCGGCAGCGTCAGCGGGTCTTCGTGACCGTCCACGGCGCCGCTGATGTAGCTGCCCCCGCTCTGGTTCCAGAAGCAGCGCGGCGGCACGAAGTCCAGGTCGGTCCAGGAGTGGCCGAAGACCCGCCGCCAGAAGCGCCGCCAGGTCGCCTTGAAGCTGGAACCCCACGCTCGCTTCGGGTCGACCACCATCTGCTCCGCGAGGGGGTAGTACCCGATGGTCTCGTAGGCGAGCTCGGACCCGGTCCGGATCAGCCGCAGGGCGCGCTTCAGGGCCGGGAACTCCTCGCCCTGGTGCTCTGGCGCATCTGGGTGCACGAAGATGGTGAAGTCCGGCAGGCTGTCGTAGTGATCGGCGAGGAACTTGAAATATGCCGTCTGCTCCTCTCGGCCTGGGCCTCCGGTGTACGGTACCAAGTGCACCCTGCGTGCCACCCGCTCCAGCTGCGCCACCAACACTGGGTCCAGCGCCCTGCACCACGGCGCGTCGACGAGATATATGAATAGCTCGGTGTCGGAGAGCAGCCCCGCATCTGGAACGCCTGGCTCACCAAAAGGTGGCACCAACAGCCAATCGAGATCGTGGATGGTGCCGAAGCGGTCGGCTGGCTGGCAGTAGTTCATCACCATGGCGCTAGTCAGCGGCCTCACCACTGCCAACTCCTTGCTGAGCTTCAACACTCGGTCGAGGCCCTGCGTCAGCGGCCACTGCCGCAAGTCTGCGGCGGCGACGCTCCCGGCCTCCACAGACCCCTGCAGATAAGCCGCGTACGCGCCCATCATCTCCTGGTACGCCAGCGGCTCGTAGACGATGTTCTCTTCCAGCTTCAGCAGGATCGCCTGCAGCACGGCCACGGGGCAGACGTGAAGCAGCTCGTCACGCGCCTGGAGCACGCTCGAGACCAGGTTCGCGTCGCCCAGCTCGAACGCTCCGGTCTCGTACCAGCGCAGGGCCCGCTCGCGCAAAGGCGCTACGCCCGCCAGCGCTGGGTCTGTGAGGTCGCAGCCGGAGGACGGCCCCCCCTCGCTTCGCTCAGCAAGCCCGGCGCTGTGCACGAGTGCGAGGGTGCTCATCGGAGGAGGGCCAGTCGAGACAGCGGCGGCCCTCCCTGGCGCGTTTCGTCATCTCTGGGTTAGGTCGGGCAGGTCCTCCTACAGGCGGATTTTGGAAGGAACATAACCACTAGTCAGAACACCATCAACGATAGTCAGATCTAGTCGAAAAAAAACGTTCCCAAACTACTTCTAGACTCTTTTTGAACACTCCTCGTGTAGAGGGACATGCCCGACTTGATCTTTGGGCCTCCCGGAGGCCTCCTGTCGCCATGGCGGGCTCCGCCTCGAAGAGCTGGTCAGGCTGGACCCTGGGAGGCTGCTCTTGACCGGGCTCGGGCCAGGCGGGAGAGCCGCCGTCGTCTTAGGTCGGGCGTGTCCCCCTGCAGGCGGATTGTGGACGAAAGATAAGAAATACCCTCAAAAATACCCCCCAAATAGCCAAACACAATCAAATCATCGTCCCCATATTATGTTTTTACTATTTGTTAGTACTCCTCCCTGGCCATTGCTCGGACGTCCATTCCCTGTGTCTTTTTCGGTTTCGCGCGTGTTTTTGTTCGCCACATGGTCGATCCTCTAAGGTCCTCGCCGAAGGAAAAATGCACACGTCCGAGCGACGCCAAGCTCCTGCAGAGGGACACGCCCGCCTTAATCGTTGTCTCAACCGGCCCTCCTCCGAGCTCAGGAGCCAGCAGCGACACCCCATCGCGTTGGGCGTCTCACGGTGGAGTGCCGAGTGGCAGCATGCAGGAGCCAGGCGGCCACCGTGTCCCACGAGCCGCCAATGCCCTCGAGCCAAAACGGCTTGAGCCAACCTGGCTACGGAATGTCGCCAACACTTGACTGGTCATCGATGCACTTGTGTGGTCCCACGCGAGCCCGTGTGACCCACATCGTTCGCATTGCCTTCGCAATCTGAATCGCACTCCAGAACTTGCACTGCCTGTCGACATGCCGCTCTGCCATGCTGATACCAGATTCGGCGCGTGAGCGTCCAAAATTCGCTTAAAACGCTGCGCACGTTGCTCACTGAACTTCCAGGCGGCCCATCCGGGGTGTGCCGGGTGCGCCTCTCGGAGCCCCACATTGTAGAGAAGCCTTGCGAGTTTCAGCAGTTGTATCTTCATGTGGTGTGCCAGGCCCAATGCCCAGGACCTTCCCCGCTCAAAACTACTTCAAGAGCCCCCGCACACCCCCTGGCAGCCTCGGACACCTGCATGGGCTCGCAGAGAGCATCTGGAGCTCCCCCGACACGGTGGCGAACTGGGCCGCAGGCCACTGGATACTTCTAAGAGCCCCTGTCACGCTGCGACGCTTGGTTTCCCCACACCCCAGCGGCAATGACTCGCCGTGCACGTCTTCGACAGTTCTACTGTGAAGTCAAGCATCCATTCCCCATTGTGGCCCCAAGCGGTTGACACGAACGAGAAAGCGTCCTTCACGGGCGCTGTGCCCTGCAAAATCACCGCGGCGCCCGCGTTGGAACCCGGGTCCTCCCCCGTCCCTTCCACGCCCCTTCGAAAATACCTGGACCCCACCCTTCTGGCGAGGCCCCCCCGCTGGAAGGTCGCGGGGGGGGTCCAGTCCCACCCTGGGCGCGAGAGCAGACGAGGACAAAAAAAACGACAACGACGCTGACGCCGACGAGACCGAGCGAAGGCCGAGGACTAAATACGGGGGTCGGACGCTGCCATCGCTGGGCGGGTCGAGCAGGAGGGTTATCAAATGGAAGCGGGCGGGTCGGTCGGGCGAGGCATGGAAGCGTGCGGTCGGGCGGCACTTCAGCGCTGGTGGGTCGCTCGGGCGGCTCTGGGGGCGGGCTTCAGGGCGGGCGGGCGGGCCACTCGGCACCCTGCGGTTGCGGAGGAGGAGGAGGAGGAGGAGGAGGAGGAGGAGGAGGAGGAGGAGGAGGAGGAGGAAGAGGAGGAGGGGGGCGGGCGCGGAGTGGGTCGCGTATGGATCGCGGGGTGGGACGCGGGGTGGGTCGCGGGGCGGGTCGCGGGCGGGTCGCTGGGCGGGTCGCGGATGGGTCGCGGGGGGGTCGCGGGCGAGGACGACGACAACTTCAACGTCACAACATTCCGCACCGCGGAACCTCACTTCAGCCACGCGCAGGGACATTGAATGACCGTTCGGCCCCCTCACTCTGATTAAATGTAAGCTGCGCTCGTTGACGGGGCAAGGCTGGTGGAAAATACAAAAAACAAGGAACGAGACTGCCACATCGACGACGACGGGCGGGGCATTAAGGCTGGAGGGACGCAGAATGAACACCTCGTGCGTTGATGCAACACTGCTGGGGGAAAACGAACCGAGGTTCGCCAAAGAAATCGATGACGATGATGGGTATGACATTACAGCGGATGGGCGGGCGGGACATTAGATGTAAAACCCGCTAGCTGATGAGGCTAAATTTGTCGTCATCGTCTTCGTCTTCGTCTTCGTCGTTCTCTTCGTCGTTCTCTTCGTCGTCATCGTCGTCAGCATCGTCATCGTCAGCATCGCCGTCATGCTCGTCCTCGCCAACGTCGTCCTCGTGTTCGTCGTCGTGAGCCGGCGCGCAAAGGGGGGAGAGCTTAGCAGGTGTGAGGGGCTTTGAAGGCGGGGGGTATCGGTAAAGACACCCCCTGCAAGTGCCCACAGAAGACGCCCTTCCATAGTGACAACGCTGGTGGACCGTTCCTGCAAAAAGCTCGAGAGCGTACTCCTCATGGGCTGCTGCTGCGTCTGATGCTGGTGACGAAGGGCCTGCTCAGCTGGTCCTGCTTCACCGTGGCCAGGACATCGGCGGCCTGTGGGGGGTGCCCTCTCAGGTCCTTGATTTTCCCCCGAGCCCTCGCCTCTCCCCGCTATGCCATTCCTCCACCCTTCAGATCTCCCCCTCGGCAAACTCCGCATCTACTTTCCTTTCCACCTTCGCCCCTCCTTCTCTTGCTTACTTCGTCGTCGTTCTCCTTTCCCCCGTGCCTCACCACTTCCTCCACCTCACCATCCTGTTCCCCCTCCTCCTCCTTCTCTTTTCGGCCATCGTCGTAGTCACCATGAACTCATTCCTTGCCCTTGCCTCCTCCTCCTCCCCCTCCCTCCTCCTCCTCCTCCCTCATCCTGTTCCACTCCCTGCTCACCCTACTTCTGCGCTTCCTCGTTACGCTCTTCATCGGTGTTCCATTCCATTCCATTCCTCCTCCTCCTCCTCCTGCTCCTCCTCTTCCTCGTCGTCGTCGCCTTCCTCTTCCTCCCCCCCACTATTTTACCTTCCACATCTCCTCCTTTCCTCCTCCTAAGCTCCTCCGACGCCGTATTCCGCATCTTGTTCCTCCTCCTCATCCTTCGCACACTATTGCTTCTGCTCGTTATGACAAGATTGCAAAAGCATGTATCCCAGGAGGACCATGGAACTTGCGCCACATTGTTGCAGCGCGCAACAATGTATATCCCACTTAGGTCGATCGGTGCTCCATGAGCAACACACGAACTCTACACTATTCCTCACCCAGTCGGAACGCTCGAAGCGAACACTCCCCCTTCGGCTGGTCAACCGAATGTGGACACGGGCGAGATAAGCGCAACAGCAATGACTGCGTAACGGAAAAGTCCTTAATAAGTACGCAGCGCAGCCGCGACTGCATCCCAGCAAGGCTAGTTATATGGTGAAGTGTCAGAGCGCATAACAGGTGCAAGCAAACGGCGACTAGGATTTGGGCGTGAATGCGCAAGGGACTCCTAGCATGCGGTGCGCGATATTCTAGGTGTTGCAAGGTACTAAGAACTGCAAGGCGATAGTCATATTCAGTAGTTCGATTTTGCTGAAGTGGAAGAACACCTCGATCTCAATTGATCCTGAACTCAAGTCACCGGCAAAACGGTGCGCGATAGTCGCTGACCATGAGGTAAGCTAGTGCCCCGTAGCGGTCGCCAGCTTGTGTCTACCTTGCGCAACATGTTGATTTGTACCTCGCATATTCATGGACATGCTGTCCCTGCTCACAAAAATCGTCTGAGCAACTGCAAAGTTCTCACGGATCCCTACTTTTATCACTTTGGTGTATCGTCGTCGTGCTTGCTTTTGAGACGAAAGCTGGCGAACCTCGATGTGCCTGGTTTGTCCTAGTCCTCGCCTGCTAGCAGTGGGGATGGCCGCGTTTGGCGTCGCTCTTTAACGAGATGCCACAATCATCATTGACATGTTGGAGACACGCTTGTAGCCCTAATGCTACTGACGCGAGTTTCACCACCCCGCAATGCGCTGCTTCTCCAGAAGATAACGCCACCACACTCTGAGTCGAACTCCACGACATTATTACATGTGACCCCCACATTACTGTTCCTCCACTTGTTGACTTACGTGTCTTCTTGCAACGGGCATGCTCGGTGTCAGTCCCCAGGTGACTCCTTGGGCCGCTCTTGACACAATTACTGATACCCACACCTGCCGCGGAGCTTGATATACTGGCCCCGTTTGCCTGGGCTTTTCCAGGCCCTCGGTTTGGTACATAGAGCGTGCAAGCCTCTTGACTGAGAATTGTGTGTCCGAGCGGTCTTGCGCTTATTAGTTTATCCTGGCCGCCAAGGCTAGGGATTTCTTAATTTAATGTCTTGGGGGTCCTCAACTTCTTCTTATCCTGAAGGCTGCTTGCCCTCTGGTATCCCGCATCTCACTTCGCTCCGCTTCGTGCCTAAAATTCTAACCGATGCCTCCACGTGTTTTGGAACCGCCCGGTGAAGTG